CCTGTAGGTGTTGCAGAACTCGAAAAATCCAGCCTGCTCTTACGGCCTGCTGCACCAGACAGTCTGGCACCCACAGGTACTCCAACTGAGCAGAGAACAGCGTCTCATTGTCGGAGGGCATCAGGGAGCGCACGTAGCACACAGCTGCAGCAACGCTGTGCGTGAAGTTGTACACACTCATGGCGTCGGATGAGCAGACAACATCGGTGGTGAGGGTGTAGATGGTGAGAAGATTGCGTACAGTTGACACCTCCCCACTATTTCCACTGCAGGTGCTAAGAGTGGTGGAGAGAAAGAGGAGGAGGAGGGCGACTTGAAGCATCAGAAGAAGTGCAAGATGTCCGCAAAGAACTGAGAAGGTCCAAATTTGGTGTAATTTATACACAATCTTGCAGTGTCAACGCCCCTATTTAATGCAGACAATAACAAAATCGGGGTTCGCGTGACTCCACTGTGCAAAGCTCGCTAACGTGTTTTAATGGCGAAAACTTCCACACCTCATTAAGTCGTCAGTGAGTTTTTTACCACTTTGTAGGGCAGCAATTTACGTGGAAGTTGTTCATCCAACATATCACACTCACCGTCGTGGATGTTTTACTGTTCTCCCCTCATGACTTTCTCGTAGTCGCTGCTTACTTAGTCGTGATGGTAAACAGAACGTCTATGCGCAAGTGCGCACTCGACAGATGGTTGCGGTTGCAATCCGTCGCTAGCGTAGGTCCCATTCGCCTCGCATGTTGGCAGCAAACATCACCCGACCACTGCTTCTGTTGGGGATTCCAAATCATCCACTCCTTCTGCTCTACTTATGGAGCAACTGATGGCTTTCGCTTACAAGATGGCGATCTTGCAACCATTTTGATAGCTTCTGTCACCCCTAGTCGTTTGCAGTGTTAACAAAACAGCCCTTACAGATGAAATGGCTGTGGAAATAGGTGAGCTGTTTAAACTCACAGTTTCTTGTGTTAGTCCACCCACCTCTCCAGGAAGTGGACAGACACTTGAGACTTCTGATAGCCTTATTTCAATCCCTTTCACCTCTCTTTCTCCCTCCTGCATGCGCCTTTACCGTCTCCTGCTACCTTATTTCTATCACACCACCAAATGTTTCATATCTTTGTCTGTCTGTTCGATTGGCAATCTGGCATTCCTGCAAAGATCTAATCTTCCCAATTTTAGTCGCAGCTACTAGAGATGCTCGCACAAAGGTGAAGAAGTCACAAATGGTTTGATGGGGAGGATAATTTGAGGTGATGAGTGCAACGCATGACGAACCACTCACGGATTCGCTCCAACATATGCATGTCACAAAAACTTGTATGATCGTAGTCGGAGAGAAGTAAAAAGTGGTTCGTAAGAAGTGGACTGCCTTAAAGTCCTCCCAAGAGGAGAAGCAGTTCACAAGTGACTTGAGATCGTCGAAGTGTCGGCGAAAGGGGCAACTGGAGCGTTGTTGTTCAAGCTCCCCACACGCGTTTAAAACGTGTATGTGTGTGTGTGTGGGAGGGGGGGGTGGGGGAAGGAGGGATGAAGTGATTGCCCAATTCGACTCCCTCCTGATCAAAGATAGACGCATGTTTTGTCAGATCTTAGTGTTTAGGGGCTGCTCGGTCTACTACTCTACATCTGTGAGGTGCGCAGTACGAGTCTTTTGTCCCTCTTTGCATCCGACGGGTGTCATCATCTCTCGCACCGTCAATTGATGGGCAGCCGAAGCAAGCCAGGCAGAAACAACAACAACACTTGCAAATGAAGACCTTCAATGAATTTGTTTCTTATTGCAAGAATTGGGCACCAAACTCTTGCCACTCCTTCACGATCACTTAACAAAACGCAATTTTCCACTTTCTGTCCAACCCACTGCATTGTGGGAGCGGCAGCACTGCCGTCTCACCTGCGATGTCGGCTGCATTCGCTGCAAATGCTTATTTCCAAGGCGGAAACCATCAACAGGCTGGTTAAGTGGGCATTTGAAGGAGACGAGAGAGGCGACACTAAGTGGAGACATCCAACATTACACTCCTCTACCTGTGTATTGTCAGTGACACGACTAGCATCTTCCACCTCCTCCTCATTACCTGCAGAGGCCGCTCTCCCTGTGGCTGCGGGCTTAGGCGACAGTGCATAAAGGACGCGAAGTGAGGAAATGCTGTCGCCTCACTTACACTTTTTTAGCTTGCGTACGCATTCATCAAAGTGCCTTGTAATCACAGCTATCGCATTTGGTCGACACGGCGGTTATTTGTCATCACCGCGCTGCAAGCGAGGTGCTGCTGCGGAAAACCTAATGCTAGTGTTCATGCGCAAAAGGGAACTGAAACGCACAACCCATTAGCCTTGTGAATAACTGCAATAAGTGTTGGTGTCAGAACATTTTGTGGCTTCTTGTTTTAATAATGCGATAAGGTCACGCAAACGCCGAATTCGCTAACGCCTCCATTAGCTGCCTTTGCGACTTAAATGGAGGCGTCAACGCTGATTTTTTACCTCCAAACTACACCCACTACACAAGAAGTCTTTTTCATGCATGCATTTTAAGTGGCTACTAAATGAGAAGCTTCCTTCCCTTTGTTAGGAATGAAGGCTTTTGCTGTCACCGTAATCAACCGAACTAGAAACGAATGCAATTTCCTCTCTGCATTAAATTGTTGCCATTTGGTCTTACTTTAACATGGATCGAGTGTACGATGAGCTTTTTTTATTTCAACAGGGACGAAGGTGAGGGAGGTTTGTCTTTTGGCCGCAACTGGTGCTGATCGCATTGCAGCCCTGTAAAAGTTGTTGCGGACGCATTTTTGTGTCGGTTATTCTGGCTACGTCACAGAATTTTCCATAATTGCCATGATTAACCGGGATGAGGTGGTTGCAGGCAAGACGTCCCCTTCCAGTCGAGGGATTAGTAGCTCTTCATAAGTCCGGTTGAGTGTTTGACTCTGCAAAGGTGCCGAAGGCATGAACGAGTGGAGCAGCAACAGGCACAAAGCCGTCGACGCTGTGTGAATAGTGAAATTCTGACTTGTCATTTGTCACTTGATCCAATACTGGCATCTCGTTAGGGACACTTGATACGGTGTGAAACGTTTCCACATTCCTCAATTTTACGACCTGCAATTTTCACGGACTTTTGCATGCGTTTCTGTCCTTCATACTTGCCTCTGACAGTGGCTGTTCCTGAGACGCCTTAACTAGCGTTGCTTAAGGCGTTTGTGACATGTTTCATTCACTGATACCACCACCAACAACGCCACACCGCTTTTCTTGTGTCGCCTTTGCAGTTAACACAACCGGAGTACTCGTGCGGCTTTTCTCACATCATCTCGCCTATTTCACCGCTCCCAACGCTAGCCACAGTGATGGTGGTTTCAAGCACTGGTCCATCGTCTCTGGTCATTCAGGGCCATCGGTTGGTACTTTCTGTCTCACCTCGTCGAATTAGCTGTAATTCAGATCCCTTCCTCCCGAATAGCGCAGAAAAAGAGAGGAGTGCTCGAAAATACGAAAAATAAGGTATCACAGGCCAGACGCTCTGCTGCTCACCTCCCTCTTATTACTGTCACAAATGGGTCGCATAACGTTACTTCCAAGCTGTCCCAGGACTAAAATCCGCTTAATAAAAATTGAAGGCGTCTGGTCTGCCGTTGTGCCATGTGCGAGGTCGGACGATGTGGGTGGATGTAAGAGTAACATGTGATGGTCAAAAATGTTGAACGATGCAATGCCCGTATTCCCTCTGCCTGTGTGGATCTCACATGCTCCGATTGGCTGACTTTGAACTCCGGCGAGCACAGCACTCGCATTCCTGCGTGCCATTTTTTTGTCGCGAGTAAAGTAGGTATTCAGTGACACTGAAATCGGGCAGTTGAAGGTGGCAAGACAGACAAAGCCTATTTTCCTTATGTGTCAACCGGTTTAGCAGCCAAACGACCTCCCTGAGTTCAAACTTTGACATTTAGTGGCTCTCGCCATCGATTTTCACAGCTGCGACCTCATTGAGGCCACATTTTCACGTCTTTGTGACGAAACGAGTTTCTCGCAGTCATGTCGGTTAGTACAGCTTTTGTTTCTACCTCTCCACCTAAATACATGTACTAATAGTACAAAATTTACAATTATGTACTTTATTGAGCACTTTATTATCCAGAAGTGAATACATTTAAGGGTAGTTTGAGCAAAATTTTCCAACCGTTATTATTTATTTGCCTTTGCGCTAGCGAAGTTTTGGCATCGAAACCTCCTCATCTTTAACACTTAAAACTCCATTCTCTGACAGTCTTATTTTAAGAGTTGATGAAACATCATTTGTTGCCCACGTGATTGAAAATTGAATGTGAAATTTTGAATTTTGCGTAGAATTTTCCAAGAACGGAAGACGCCCATGGACCACTGACATATGTGTCACGTGTAAGTCGGCCCCTTGTGGAAATTTAACTTTACTTTCGGCAAAACTAATTTCACTTTACTGTTAGGCGTCATTAAGCGTTTTGACACCTTTCTTCCCCAAAATACTGCTTAAAGCGTTTTGAATTTTTTAGCGAACCAAATCGAGATTCTTGGAGGAAATGCGTGGTCCAATGGTATGTGTTTACGGTTTACTGCTCATGGTTACATAAAGTCGCATTACAGTATCCTCGACCTTAAGGAGGGGCATCTCCAAGTTCTCGTTACAATGACTCTTGAGTGGACATGTCGATCTCACTTAAGATTCAAAATCTGAACATTTAAGTTTGTTCTAGATGTACATTGATGGTTTCAAATAAGAAGCGATTACAGGATGGTGGCAAGGTTGTTTATTGAGGATAGAAGTGGAGTACTTGAGGCTAGATTCTGGAGCACTTCATGAGAGTCGACAAGACAAAACTCTGTGGTACTTGATTGTCTCGCAGTAACATCCATTCGCGCCTGCTTTTAAAAAAAAAGGGTCAAAATTAAAGCTTTTATAGCAGGTTGTGATATAGGTAAACCACGGAGGGTTTTTTATAATTAAATTGAAGGTAAGTATGGGGGGGCCCACTTTACACCTAGTTGATCGCTGTAGTCTATTTCTGGGAGGTTAAGGCGAGTCTAAAATACAGAGCTTGCAAACATTTAACAAAGGGCAAATTTTGTCCTCATTCGCCAAAAAATCAATCTAAACAATTCCCTTTATTTGTGAAGCAAGTTTACAAAAATGACTTTTAAATTGCTTGCTGCAAAAAAGTATGGTGTCAGCTCATATTTTGCCACGAAAAGGAAAGGAGATCAAACACCGTATTTTCTTATAATATAGCAAGTCAGAAAGCAAGAAGAGACGCGAGAGGAGATTCAGACCTACTCCCCGGAAGT